GTCAATAATTTCTCAGACTTTATGGCAGATTACGAGAAAGAAATACCAACATGTTGACTTTGTGTGGTTTAAGACAGGATCTCTCAGGAGTAGTCCCACCTCCCCACACACCAGGCGAATGACAAGTGACTGACATGTGGGTTCACCAATGGGGCGTACAGAAGTCCTGCTGCGGTAGCGCCCACCGAAAGTAGCGGGGCGGGCTTTGATGCTTACAGCTAAGCTAGCGGGTTTTTTGTGTAAAGTTCTACTCCAAGAATGCAAGTCTGCAGCATCTCTGTGTTCAGAGACCTTCTAGAGACTTTATATAACAGCAGTATGTGTTCACGGAGGTGCGCCATAAGTTTATTTTATTGGTATGGTACGGTACTTCTGCATCGACGAACACGCTAACGCTAGCTGCGCTAGTATAGTCACTAATCAAGCCTGAATGAGAACTCAGCTGCCGGCATATGTTCACAACTACTGTGTCCCCCATTGTCAATCCTGTTTAAGTCCTGGTTTAGGTCCTGTTTTGGCTGTATTTTGTATTTTTGAGTAATTTCCGTCTGCTTGCTAGACCGCTAATGTTCCCGTGACCACTTTGCGGCTCTCTGACCCGAGAGAGAGGGGGAAACAAACAAGCATGCAAATGGGATTTATCGCGGCCAGAAAAGTTATTGAGCAAATTTTATTTATCGTGGGATTAATTGATTTATTGACTATCGCGACAGGCCTACACCTGCGTTTGTGACGCACCTGCGTTTGTGACGCACCTGCGTTCGTGGCGCGGCGTGGCTTTAGACGCAGCTCCAGTAAGCAGTAGCAAAAAGGCCGCAGGCTGAGGCAAGGCAATGCAGTTTTAGTGACAGTGAGGGTTAGAAATAGAGTATTAGTTTTGATGTAGTACAAGGGGGTGGGAGTGCAGTATCTGTCAGATCACACGCCGATGTGGTTGAACGATAACGCGCATCATGCAGGAGCAGGAGTACAGAATAGGATTAGTTACCACAGCAATGTGTTATTATCAGTGGCAAGGAGGGGGGGGCGGGGTGTGTGGGAGTGCAGTGTTAGTTAAACCACCACACAGATGTGTTACCGTAAACTAGCAGTAGTGAGTGAGCAGGAATAAAGCATAGAATGCGTATCACCAGCGACATGCAGCAGAAGGAGAGCAGAGTTTACAGCATTAACCTTGGCTAATGCAGTAATGTAGCTTAACAATTATGTTTAAGAGGAGAAGCAGAAACAGAGCGTTAGCTTTTGTTATGTATAGCAGTAATGTGTTCTAATAGCAACATGCGCTAGAAGTAGCAGAGTTACAGTGTGAAACTTGGTCAACGCAGTAATGTAGCCTAACAATTATGCTTAAGAGGAGAAGCAGAAGCAGAGTGTTAGCTGTTGTTACGTATAGCAGTAATGTGTTCTAATAAAACAATATGACATGCAGAAGGGGGCGGAATTAAAATGATTCGTTTCAGTGTAGTACAATCAAACATAGAGTGGTTATTAGTTTGAGCAATCAAAACAGCATGGAACAACAGCTAGACCGTGTTAATGTTACCACCATGAGCAGCAGTGTGGTCTAGGCGTGACATGCAGAAGAAGGGGCAGGATTAAAATTATTAGTTTTAGTTTATTACAATCAAACATCAAGTTTGGCAAAGTAGAGATTTTAGTTGGGACAGAAACAGCAAGGGACAACAGCCAAAACAGTGTTAACGTTACAACCACAGCCAATCACTTGATCATGAGACGTAGTGCAGGGTAAAAGTCAAGACAGCAGCAATGTGGTCCCGGAAGTAGTGCCGGGACCGGAAAGCCATTTTGTGTTTAGACAATAAGAGGTGCGGCCCGTTTAGCAGTATGCCGAGACGGCTGGCGCCTTATGATCGTCAGAACACAGAATCAGAGTGGGATAGGATAGTACGAAGTATAGTAAGTAGTGTTATTGTTAGACAGCAGGTAGACAATGCAGCAGAATGGTATTAGCAGTGGGGATGCGGCTCTGGCTTTTAGCGCGCCAGGGCCGGAAGTTAGCCGTATGCTAAAACAAAGGAGCGTAGCTAGCATTTAGCTTGCCGGCAACGGTACATTGTAGCAGCAGTTTAGGCAATAAACAATGAGTTTTGGCGACCGAATGCAGTTCGGTTAAACAGAGTGGTACTAGTTTTAACGGTAGAGAAGCAGCTTATAGTGGGAGCAGTGGGGATGCGGCTCTGGCTTTTAGCGCGCCAGGGCCGGAAGTTAGCCGTATGCTAAAAACAAAGGAGCGTAGCTAGCATTTAGCTTCCGAGCGCGGAGGTTTTAGCAGTAGTTTATACAACGAAAGTCTGGAGCGAGTTATACGGTTCGCACAAGCACGTATTTGCAGTGGTGGAATGGGGTTTGTATGTATGTACTGTAGGGTGCTGGTGTGTGTATACAACAGCAGGTTAGCAGGCAGAGAGAGTGGTGAGACAGAGTTAGCGTTAGCCGCCTTTAGCAAAACGATAGCATCACATTCAAACAGCTGCCATTTACAGCCTTTTACACAGATATACTCGGTTAAAATCCTGTGTGACCTGGGTCACCAAGGGACACAGTAGATCCGTACACCCGTGTTCTGGACACGGTGTACAGTGGAGTTATAAGAATAAGGTTTTGCGCTTTCTCTTCAGAGGGAAGCGGCTTTCACAGACTCACGCTGCCTGACTGGCCTAGACAGGGCAAAACGTTGGAGAGAATGCGTAGTACCTGTGCCAAAGCCAGGGTTTTGAGACTAAATTAATAGTCTGGTGCATGCACGAGACGCTTTTATCGCAAGCGTGGGGCGTAGGGGAGCTCGATTGCCGTTGAAGTCACTATAGCAACGGGGGTGCGCAGGGACAGAGGGGGTGCGGGAGTGGGGGGAAGCGCTTTGAGCGGAGCAGCAGTCTAAGTTAGCGTATATTAACCGGTCAATTCACAGAGTACGAGTCGATAAATCTGGTCTATATTCGCGGATCTCACAAACAGGGTACCAATACTGTAGGGTAATAATTTATATATGTATTAGGGTAATAATACATCAGATTATGTTATGAGAAGAATAGTGCGGCTAGTCTTCAAATCAGAGTCTGGCCGTCCTATTCGAGTGGGGGATCTGCTTTATATTTATTTAGGCACCAGCAGTGTATGACACACTGCACAGATCCAAACCAACTTTGCCTCGAGTCAGTCTTATAAATCTAATAGGTAGTGAGTACTTTTATCGGCCAGTGATATTCCGAGATCTAACAACGCGACTCTGAAGGGGTTGAGTTAAAGAAAAGTAGTTTATTGATTACAAAAATGAGGGTAAAAATATAACGAAAAGGGATTTCTGGTCACATTAAAAGCAGGAGTTGTACACATATCATTCAAATCATACATTTAACAAAGGAACAGTCTTACTTTGAAGGAGCGTAGAGGGAAGTGGGTGACTGGGATGAGGATGGAGTGGAGGATGAGAATGAAGAATAGGGTCTAGGCGATGTCGTCCACGTGGTTTCTTTGTCCGGGCAGGCGGGAATTATGAAGCCAGCGACGGCAGTCCAACTTTGGATCCAGGCGTGCACACTCAGTCCGGAATGAGTCACGTGCGCAGAGTCCAGAGCCAGGGCCGGCTGGTGATGAAGAGTTCATAAATCCCAACCAGAGGAGAGTATGTTTGGCGGAGTAGAAGGCCCGATGCGTGCTGGCGCGACCGTAGTAGGAGACACGTGCCGCGGGACGCCGATGGCCAGGGAGGTTGCGATAGTGATTTCAGGAGAAGGCAAGAGGAAGTCTCTTGCTTTGCGGGTGCTTATATTGACTTCTGAAGGGGCGTGTCCATGTCTTCCCTCTCTGTGGACAAACTCCTTTACACAGACAGTTTGTAAAGAAACATACAGGATTGATGCAAATGATCATAAGACATGTACAAACACACAGTGTATTTACATCACAGACATTAAACACACGAGTAAGGTCCGTAACGTTAATATCATTGAGTAATGTCCCCTTTGAATGTTCGTCTTGGGTGCGGTAGCGTCCAGTGTCCGCTAGGGAGCGTCAGAGGGCCGCGGGTGGACCCCTTGGTCCGTGGAATGCATTGTGACAATGCTGATTTGTATCAGCTCCTCTGTTAACATGAAAAAGGCACCAGATGGGTATCCTGCTGTTTTATGGGTCCGTCTGGAGTCCGTAATCCTCATGCTCCTGTGGCTGAACCCCATGGTTCCTTTGAAGTTGCGGTGAAGTATTATCTCCATTTGGTCACTGGTTCACAGAGAAAACAGGCCCGGCCGGTCCTGTCCTCCGTTTTAACCTTACATTCCTTACGCACAGACACGTGAACCCTGTGCTGCTTTCTGTAAACTCTGGCATTTAAAGGGCTGTCTGACATTCACTCTGACTGACACACAACACTATGTAACACAAGCTTAGATTAGCTTTAATGACCAGAACCAGGAAGTACACTCGTCCTGTACTGCTGCCTCTTCACTGCTGTGTGTGGCTATGTGTGTGTGTGTGTGTGTGTGTTTTTGTGCGTGCGTGCGTGCATGTGTGTGAGTACCACCCGAACAACAAATACCTGTGTGGAAAGCATCTATACAGTATACAGGTGAAACCCAGAGTATCGTTCAAAAGTCCATTTACCTCTGTAAATTATCATAAAATTCGATTAGTCTTTCTCATATATTGGCATTACATGTGAATGTGTGTATATGTGATAATATTTAAACCCATTGCAAATGTTTTTTCCCCCCTTTTTATATATGTATATATGTATATGTATAAATATGTCTTTTAAATTTATTTCTTCTGATTTTTTTACATTTCTTACATTATCTTCCATCTGTTCATGCAAAATAAGACATAGAAAAAAATGATAAAGCATTTCCAAACCCTGCATTTTTGCCTTAATTCAATCCATTCAAAATCCCAGAGGATTTTACCCTGATCTCAAGCGCGACCTCACACTGTTTTTCTCCTCAACAGAAGCAGTGTTTTTGTTTTTGACATGAAAGTCTTCTCACCAGTTGCAGCATCATGGACACGCTCTCCCAGGTGGCCGGCCGGATGTTGTCTCCTCCATCCACCAGACCCTGATAACCCTGTCACAGCGGCACAACACAAACACCTCCGTCTTAGCAATAATATTTACAAAAACACTTCACAATCATCTGCGTAAACGTCGGCTTTACCTCATGCACGAAGAAAACCTTAGCTCCGGTGTAGAGGCCGACGCGGACCGTTGCCCTCACCGCTGCATTCATTCCTGGACACATGATTATTTATCACTACTTATAAATAATCAATATTAATGATAATGATAATGAACTGGTTTTATACAGCGCTTTTTGGCCACTCAAAGACACAACATTATTCTTTCACTCCATAAACAGTGATGATAAACTACTACTGTAGCCACAGCTGCCCTGGGGCACACTGACCGATGCGAGGCAACCAGTATGTTCCATCGGCCCCTTCGTGCAAAGATGATTCTGTTCTATACTGTAACCCCATGATTTATTGACTAATTGCACATGGAGTGTAACTTCTGATTTTGTGTTATTTTTATTACTTTTTTCCCGATATTCTGCTCTTGTTAAGTGGACGTCTTAAAATGAAAAATGAAGTTCAAGTTGTGCAAACTTGAACTTCATTTGTCTGTTTGGGTTTTAGACCCGTGTCTCCGGTTACACTTCAGGCTCCCACTGACCGTTCCCCCTCTACAACCTCAGCAGAAGGTCACACGCTAAAATTAGACTCAGTCACATTCACACAGAGGACAAAAACTACAGCACAGCTCTAAATATGTTACATTTCAAAATATGTAAAAAACTGAAACGTGTGGAGCAAGAACAGTCCCATCTGAAATATGTAAAAAACTGAAACGTGTGGAGCAAGAACAGTCCCATCTGAAATAATCTACTGACATCTGCAGAGTTTCTCAAAACAAACTTCCACAAATACTAAAAATTCCATGAATGTGACACAAAAAGCCCCTTTACCTTTAAGTATGAATAGATGAATGAATACTTTATTTTGAGCCATGACAAACGAGAACAAAGAAGAACAACAAAACAACAACAGAATAGAAAAATAAATGATACATGATAATAGACACTTATGCAGTATGTTTTGTTTTATTAACAAAAATCCAGCTCGAAAAGGAGCAGTAAGAGGTTAAGACTTTTAGACTCCCACCCCCTATTTATTATTCTAAGGTAATTTAACTTCAATCATGTGGTTGCTGCAGCTGTGGTATATTTACAGTTATGCAGCAGTGACATTCATAATAGTATGCACTTGATTTATACAGTGTATGTATAATATGTTTATATTCTTGTTTCCTTAATACCACATATGTCTATAAGTATCACAGTCTTTACTGATCATAGCGACATCATCATCATCATGTATCCATATATTATTCATGTCGTAAAAATTCATATACAGTACAGACCAAAAGTTTGGACACACTCCTACCAGGAAATAACATCCAAACTCATGCCACAAACCTAATCCTTTAGTGAAATTACCTTCATAATGTACAGAACAGACCAAAAGTTTGGACACACTCTCTCATTCAATGAGTGTCCATTCTATTCATGACTATTGACTGTAGATTCACACCAGGCTGTGTAAGGGCTGTTTGACCAATAAGTAGAGTGATGGGTGCTGGGCCAGATGAACTGGCCTCCACAGTCAGCGGACCTGAACCCAATCCAGATGGTTTTGGGGTGAGCTGGACCACAGAGTGAAGGCCAAAGGGCCAACAAGTGCAAAGCATCTCTGGGAACTCCTTCAAGACTGTTGGAAGACCATTTCAGGACACTACGTCTTGAAGCTCATCAAGAGAATGCAAAGAGTGTGCGAAGCAGTAATCAGAACAAAAGGTGCTACTTTGAAGGACTGAGAATATAAGACATATTTTCAGTTGTTTCATACTTTCCTTTTTGTACGTACATAATTCCACATGAGTTAATTCATAGTTTTGAGGCCTTCAGTGTGAATCTACAATTTTCTTATTCGTGAAAATAAATAAAAACTTTTTGAATGAGAAGGTGTGTCCAAACTTTTGGTCGGTATGGTAGTTCTATAGTCCTGCACCACACAGCCTCAGTCCAGGATCTACAGCCTGAGTCCTTCAAACATTTCATTCTCTGATCTATTGTTGAGGAATTGACAACTTTGTAAAGTCCTCCAAGACAGCTGCTGTTTTGATTTAGGGTGATACAAAAATATTAATAATAATATTTTTTTTTGCTTGTAGACAGATTGCCAAGCGCGCAGAGACAGTGATTGCTGCTGTCAGACTGTGCGACGAAAACTCCGAAGACAATTCACGTCAGTCGCTTTCTCTGTTATTTGTTATATTCTGTCCATATGCAGCTCAATTATAAGGTTTCTAATTGTTCCTCCCTGTATCTGAATCAGAATGAGTAACTAAGTACGTTGTCTTTCTTTATATACTGTAGCACATCTCACAGTCCAAGGTCATGCAAAGCGCCTTGCAAATCTTTTTTTTTTCATTTACGATCACTCCATAGCGATCACACACGTTGATGACAGGACCCAGACGCCAAACACCTGGTCCCCCGAAGTCTCCGAACATCAGCATCCTTCACTCTCTCTCATTACATTCACACACATGTTTTTACTGGTGGGGAAAACCGGGGCATCCAAAGGGAACCTATTCAGACATGAGGAGAACGTGCAAACTCCACACAGAAAGCCCCAAGGTGTAATCCCTGGAACTTCTTGCAGTGAACCACAAGTGCTAACCGCTGCTGTTTTTTGTTGTCGCTATTTGCAGTTAAAAACCACACAGTTTGTCCATCCAGTTTCATTTGGTCTTCTGATAGATTTTACAAGTGGATTTTTCATTCAAGACCAGAGCAGTGTTTTATCTTCAAAACACTCCAAAACAAAATTAATCTATACAGTATAAGCATTGTACTCAACTTTCAAATGCCCCAAAAGCAATTAAAAAACACACAATTTGAAACATTTTCCATTTGAATAAATTCTAGAAATTGCTTCTTTTCATTTGGCAACCCCCCAAACCACACTAGTTTTACGCTCTGTGGTATGTTATTGTCTATTTAAGTTTGATAGGATATCGAAATAACTAACTGTTTTTACTTTGCATCAATAAAAAAAACAAAAAAAACAAAGGCAGTCCGACTTCTTCAGGACAAAATCCCCGGTGTGTGAGAGTAAAAAAGCCCCCTCGTCTCGGTTAATAGTCCTGGGGGCACATTTCCCCTGAGTTATGGTATTGAAGAAGTTGGACTGTAGATGGCGCTGTCGTCCTGCCTCTGGTGGTAGGAAGACGGTGCATATTTTTTAGCTAACAGGGACGTCAAATGACCACAGTGAGGAAGGGTGCGAAAAAACACTGGTCTTAAAAAAAGAATAGACAGAGTACAAAAAAAATACAAAAAAAGCTGGGAACCTAATTAATCCTTTTTTTTGCATATTTAATCGTGGCACAGATTTCAGTATATGTCGCAAAGAGCAGCTGATGAGAAAGTAAACGTTTGTCATTCAGCCAACTTCAGCTCTATCAAATGTGAATCAATATAAACACATCGATGTCACACCTCATTGTTTAACGACAGGACAGTCAAAAGCTAAAGTGGCCCTCCAGTTTCTCTCATTTACCAAAAACATATACCAACAATGCCTTTGTGGCATTGAAGAACGAGTCAATTCCAGAGAACACAGAGACAATAAAGACTAATCCACTTTCAAGGATTTCACAGACCAGTTAGTGACTCTGGGCGGACAGCTGATTGGCTGAGTGGAGGTGGTCCTCTCTTTATCACTTTAATCAGACTGACTGAAAATGCTGCTCTAAAGATGTGACAGAGGCCTAAAACTAGTGATAGATGCAAACGGTATTTAGAAATAGGAACTAGTGACTTTTATAGACTGTATTATAGTTGTATTATAGTGGTTGGAAAGTTACATACCCCAGCTTTTGTCTGCTTCAGATTGAGATACTCAATCAAGTGGATAGGCCACTGATGAGACCCTATGATCAAACTGTTATATTGTTGTTGTTTTTCCCGCTCAACCCCGCAGAAATACTTGGCCGTGTCTTTAATCTGGTCTTATTCTTGTGTGTGAGACCGATGGCAGCCTGGCTCATCTCCCACATTTCTGCTAAAACCAAAACACTCAGAACAATCCCAGACTCTTCACAGATCCGTGGTCTGGTTCCCTCCTCACTCACCCTGGGCGTCTCCTCCGGACGTCAGCACCGCGATGGCCCGACCCACCCCCATCTTGGTCTGGTCCACCGTAGGAGCCTTTTGGGCCATGGTTCTGGATCCGCAACTCTGTGTAGAGTGAAGAAGAGTCTGGAGATGTGGGGAATCTAAAGAGGGCCGGCTAGAGAGGCGTGACATAGCTCTGGGAATGCTTTGGACACTCATACCACCACATGCACACGGGCTATTAAAAGACAGAGGCAAAGGGATAATATGGGGTTTAATAAAGTGGTAATATTATGCATTATTTTTGGACATAGAAAATAAAAAGACTATTTACTTTGCTATGTCAAGTTTTTGAATGTGATTAAATATCTTAAAATGGCAATATGCAAAATTGAAGGTGAAAAAAGTTCATATTTTTATGTATTAGACATTGCATGGTGTCTTTAGGCAAGGCAAGTTTAATAGTATAGCACAGTTCATACACAAGGCCCCTCAAAGTGCAAAGCAGAAGATAGAAACAATCACACAAGCCATTAAGAGAAAATAATTACAGTACAGTGCCCTTGGACGCTTCCCTGGGGAGGTGTTCCGGGCACGAACCACCAGGAGGAGACCCCGGGGAAGACCTAGGACACGCTGGAGGGACTATGTCCTATGTCCTGTCCTGGGAACGCCTTGGGGTCCCCCCGGATGAGCGGGATAAAGTGTGTGTGGATGAAGCGGAAGAAAATGGATGGATGGAATTACAGTACATCAAAAAGAGTTTATACAATCCTTCAGTTGCACTTACAGCTAAACAGTTTTTAAACTGGATTTTAACTTTGTCAGAGTAAAAGCCTGTCTCACATTTGCAATCTGTTCCAGATTTTATCTAGGCAGCACGGTGGGGCAATGGCTAGAGCAAGAAAGTTCTGGGTACAAGTTTTGGTGATCTCCTCATGTCTGCATGTTGGTTTCCTCCGCTTGCTCTGGTTTCCTCTACTACTAAAAACATGTACAATGGTTCAGGCTGAATGAGTGTGTGTTTGTGAGTGTGACAGTGGGACCACGGATGCAAAATAGCCCAAGGCTACAATCCTGAGAGGTGTGTTCATTATCATGCACAACCAACAATCTGAAACGCGTTTTGCAGAAGGGACAAAGGATCTCTTAAAAGATATGAAATATAAACTAAAATATAAATATGTTGTGGACCTTTTCTGTCCAAAATGTTTCTATTTGTCCTGGTTCATCACAACATTGAGTTCTCCTCGGTCCAGTCGCTGGTTCGGCAGGATTAGCCTTTAGCCTCTGCATAAACGTTGTAGTGTTTTGTGCAGTATTGCGAGGTTGTTAAATGAACTGCTATTTTATTGATCCGTGGTTGTCGGAGTTGGCCTGTAGGGGGAGCTAACCAGGATTATCTGAAATTAAGTTATTGATTTGAGTTTGTCCCCAGAGAACCACAGTCTGAGCCGGAGCATGGGAAAAATACAAACAATTAAACAATGTGCGGCGTTTAGGAGAGACGTCTGGAAGAATGGTCTGAAGCAACAAGAGGTTTAAAGCTGAGGTACCTATCTTTAAAACCATAAAAAACAACCATGTCCTTGCCCTCAAAACAGTATTTTTGGCCTCCGTCACATCTTTAGATCAGCTTTTTCAGACAGAAAAGTGAAAAAGAGGGGACCGCTCTCACTCAGCCAATCCGCTTGCATCCCATGTGTCAAACAGTCACTCACAGGGTTCTTTCTTAAGCAACAGATAACATGTTTTACAAAAAGATGAAGACTGCATGTCGTGGCCTGATTTGTTCTCAACATTGTACTATTACAAGACACTATGTTGCACAGGAATGTAAAAGTTAACACAAAACCGCTGGTGACTTTTTTAGTTTTTTAAGTTCTATAATCCACTTGTGATGTCATCAAAGTCAACGACAATTAGTGAAAAGGACGATATATTGATACAGATCTGTAATGTGATTGTGTTGAAATGGTTTTGTGCCACTGGTACAGATACAATTACGACTATATTTTTTACTCAATGAAACAAGCTTTGGACTTTGCTTGTGGAATCTAAAAAGTGCCAGATGAACCCACTCACACTCTGAGAATCACACGGACTGGCCTCCTGCTGGTGCCCAGAATCAGAACTGAACATGGGAAGGCAGCGTTTCAAATTTACGGTAAACATCTGAAGTCTGGAACAGTTTTCCTGAAAATGTGAGACAGGCTTCTACTCTGACAGTGTTCAAATCCAGGTTAAAACAGTTGTGTTAGCTCTGCATACGACTGAAAGATTCTCACTTTTTAATGTACTGTGATTATTTATGCATGTTATTCCTTGTGCGATTGTTTATATCTTGTTTTGTTAAGGACTTTGAGTTGCTCTGTGTCTGAACTGGATGATACAAATACTCTTGCCTTCCCTTGCTTAATGAAAAGTAATTACTCCAGCTCCCCCCTGTTTATTTGACCCGTGTATATATCACTCTGTTGCTGTAATGATGGAAGGACCCAGTTGAACCAGTAGATGGCACTGTTTCCTATGTGCCACACTCACACTGGGGCCTCCTGATAAACAGACAGTAGGTTTTGGTGCTGTTCACTCAGTTTTATAAAGGAGGAAAATTGAATGGGACGATTCAATTATTATACTGTGTACTATAACGTTTTCTTTTGACAACGCTGAATTACTTTATACAGTTTAGTCATTTAGGTATTCTTTATCAACGCTCTTAAAATGCATATCTCGGCCTGCAACAATTCATTATTCATTATTACTACAAAACATTATCTTTGGAGTAAGAAAGAGCCCATTGAGTCACTATTTGACTCTGAACTGATTGGCTGAGCGAAGGTTGTCTTCTCTTTTTCACATATCTGTCTGAAAAGTTGATCTAAAAATGTGACGGAGGCCAAAAGTACAGATGTGGAAACTGTTCGAAGCAACCTGAGAGCGAGGAAATAGTTAGCATTTTATGGGTAAAGGTAAAGGCCCCCAGCTTTAAGTAACGAATATGTAGGAAATTTTGCATTATTTATTACTCCGAAATAGCAGCATTATTAATGGATACTAGCCTTGAAATTATCTCAAGGAAAAGTTACATAAATAATTTGTCAAAAAAACAGCATTTTTATGGACGTATTTCTTTCACATTTTAAAACCTGCTTTTTTACTACTTTTAGTGCATGTTTTAAAATCATCAATATTCCCCAATAAATCACTGTGAGCGTATGGGCCTACCGAGATAACATAGATTTAATTAGATCTTATGTTAACAGTTCATTTCACACATAAATCACCATTTTAATCCTCATGGCTCCAAACCGTCTGCTTCCCCATTTCTCCCCACACATATATATAATTTCCCCGTGTTTTGTGGACATTCCCCTCTGCTCCTCCTGGTCTCCCCGTGGATCACTTATGCATTCATCTGCAGCTCTTTCCAATAGGCTGGGAACACGTTTACCATATACCCGCTCTGCACCTCTCTCTCTGGGCTCGTCTCTGTGGAGTTCCCCGGCTCTCCTCCGTCCTCACCGCTGTTACATATCTAAAATAAAGTGCGTCTACCTGCGAAAATTGAGAGTTTATGACATTTATATATATGTATGTATCTGAAATAATTAATTTGAAATCTAAATATGGAATAAATGAAATATGACAAAATGATGTAAAAGAGACAAGACCCCGCCATGCACTTTACTGAATTGGGTGCTATGGGTGCCACCTGGAGGTAAAGGCCAGATCTGTCCGCTCTCTGAAGCTAAGCTGACAGGGCCAGGTTAGTGAGGCAAGACACTTCACCCACATTGCCTATGAATGGGAGAGGTCCATGGCACATTCTGGTTGCCTCACTTGTGTCAGTGTGCCCCAGGGCAGCTATGGCAACAGAAATAGTTTATCACTGTGATTATTTATGATTTATGATGATGATGATTGATGCCTTGTTATCGTTTCTGTTTTGTTAAGCACTTTGAATTACCTTGAGTATAAACTGTGCTCAACAAATAAACTTGCAATCCTTTGTCTTGCCTTTCACACTCCTCTCCTAGTCCCACTGCAGGTCGTTTCTGCCCAGCTCGGGCACACCACGTTCTCAGACGTTCCCTGTTTTATGGATAGATGATCCACGGGTCTTATAGATGATCATAAATATCAGATGAGAGGACGTTATGTCCTCTTTAAAGACCAAGACGAGGTATTATGCTGTTTCCAAAGGTCTGTGATTTGCCAACAGTAACTAATCAAAATGCGTTTTTGATACATCCTCAGCCATAAACTGCTTTGACCTTCAGATCCCCATATAGACCTGTAATGTCTCATGTATATGACCACTGACATGCAATAAACTGTGATTAATACGGCTGTGGCCTTTCTAACCATTGTAATGAGAAGAAGGGAAGACCCAGGACACTCTGGGGGGAGAGTGTCTCTCACCTGGCCTGGGAACACCTCAGGATTCCCCTGAAAGGAAGTGAGCGGAAAAAGAAAGTCTGTTCGTCTCTGCTCATGATAAAGAGCCTGGTATTGTGGTATTAAACTTAAACAACAGTAACTTATAAACAATGTTGTGATTCTTTGAGGTCCAAATAATCACCAGACAAGCTCTCAAAGCACATACAGTACATTGCAAGTGCATAATTTGACCTCCGTTAACTCTTTGGTTGTTGATATATTCATTTCAAACATGCATGAGATATACAAACAAAGTATTGACAGTAAAGAAGATGACCTGCGGATGGTTTGAAAAGGGATTGGTCGAAGCAAAAAAAGCGTGTTTTTATCCAATCCCCTCCCAGGCATTCAGACACATACTACTATACAATACAAAAAAGAAACAAAACCCTACAATACCCTCCAACACGCACGCACATAGATATATACTGTATGTAATATAAATTATGTACTGTTTATATTATCCCCATAGAAAGAGCCATAAAGTTGGCCATAAAGCTCCCCATGTTTAAGCTCTTGTTATTTTCTGAAGAAGGGAGGAATAATTAGAACAGTGATGCTGTGGGTGAGCGAGAGGAAGGCAGTTCCAACTGTCGGCTCTAACGATAAATCAAACCTGTATGGCCTTAAGCGGCCCCCCACCCCCACCTGTAAGCGGGACC